AATATATACTAATACACGACGTATAGATTAATCTTACAATATTCTTGTCGTTATAAATGATAATTCTATGAAGTTTATTATACAATCTATTCTTTTTCTTTTATTATTTCAAACATTGTGTATATACAGTTCCGTTGTAGAATTTGAGACACTTAAAAAACAATTTTCAAACTAAATACAAATTCTCAACTTTGAATATTTTTTATGTTCGTACTACAATACAATGAAAAGAATATTCAGTAATTATTTTTTCTTTCTTACCATTAGACAGGCAGCAGTGGGTTTTTTCTAATCTATTACGAGAGAATTTCGATATGAATAAGACCAACTACATCCTATGGATCGTGTGTATTGCAAAACACATTGCTAACTACTCTTATGTGTTGAATTTTAAGAAGAATTTTGTTTACTCAGAGAATCAAGCGTGGATGAAAGATCATTTTCCAAAATGTTTCTACTATTGTGTCATGTTCGTTTTGAAGAACGTTATTGTACAGACCACAGTTCAAACTGAGAGACCTGCCTGCTTTATGGAGTATATTGCTTACACTATTATCTATTTTTTGTTTTAGTAAAATATTACCAGACATGTATCACGCATTAACCAATCATGGGTATTACTATAGTGTTTGTGTACCTAGATAATTTCACTTTTGTATCTTACTCTTTTGAAATGATCTTATATTAATCTTGAGTATTATCTACTTTTGTATTTGATATTCAAACGATTAAAAGTATTATGCGAATGAAGACTAAATTTCTAATATCTTTTTATAGTATTAATCATGAAATATTTATTGATCGTTTTACATTTATTTAAATTTACACAAATTTATTTATAAACTATCTCTAAATTTATTACAAACTATATCTATGAACTTGTCATTCTTTGAAATTTATCACATTACTTTATTAAGTAACATAATAAATATTGTGTTCGTGTATACGGAGTGTTACAAAACATATAAATTATATTTATACGTACAATTTTAAATAACATACATTTTAAATAACAGAAGACTTTAAAAGATCACTTATAGAGCTGTAATATATTACTTGAACTGTAAACAATAATAAATAAAAAATATATTTAATGTCCAAAATATATTACACATTATACCATTTGGTCAATGAAATGAATCTTTATTTAACTTCAATATTTTTAATCACATTCAAGAACATATAAATTTGCACAAACATTCGCAGGCTAGTCATAAATTCTTATTCAGAAATTACACAACCAGCGAATGTAAACCCTATATATTAAGAAAAACGATATAACTCTAATAACGTTACATTCGTATAATCGATAGATATCGAAACAATAAATTAATCAATTTTTCACAATAATCTCAAACGCCATCAAAAACACAAGAATTTCTTTTGCTTGAAAGAAGATATTCTGCTTAAAAGCAAGCAATATCAGAAAATGGATTTGTATTAGTTTACATACTAAAATAAAAGTATATATGTTATAATATTTCAAAAAAATTAATTAGTTTATAATACAAGTAATTACATGTTTCACAGATATCTTTATACACAGTCCTGTAAGCAGTTTTTGGTTATTTACCATGATGAAATTAATAGAATTCAACGACACTGCTTTCATTGTGTTACGAAAGCACAACCACTGATATTTCTACACTAGTATCACGCAACTATTTTTCTATATACATGACTCTCGGTTTGTAGAAATCATAGAATCCGACAGTTGATTTAGCTTAAACGCTTTCATACACTGTATTCTTATTATGCTTTGAAAGCAATGCGATTCCGTCTACTAAAATGAGTCTCCATGATGCTGACTATGCTGCAGATAATACAAATGTTTTGGGATATATTTATTGAAAAGATTGAAGTAGCTATGGTATTTACATATTTATATTCTATTTACAATTAGTGCGAGGATGGAAGAAGGTGAAAGGTAATGCGCGTTTCGTCTCAGAGTCGCTGCCTAGACTTATCAGTGGGGCTGATGGCAGCGACCCCTTACCCCAGACGCTTGTTATAATTACTCGCTCGGTCACCCATCCTAGCGGTGTTCCGCACTCTGTTTGCTTAACGTCGAAAAATCGCTAGACTTCAACGTTAGGTGCACAGCCACTTGTGGCTTGTACAAGTCGATGTTCAAGACTCCTACTTGAGGAACTATAGGCCGCTACATTATAATTATTTCAGCATATTACCTCGTACATATTGCCCAAATTCAATGCAACGTTCTCAAACTTTCTGCGCTGATGTACCTCAGTACCTTATATTATTCGTCAACTTTTTCAAACAGTCTTATCTGTCTAGCAAACGTGAGAATAAAGCAGAAAAGAAAAATCAAATCAAGTCTCAATGAAGCACACAAAATTCATTGTAGCAATGAATATAGATTGGAATATAGATATTAACTAAGCATCAAAAAAATTAAGGAACTTTGAAATAGGTTCTATTTGAAATATGGATTGTAGAACTTTTTCGAAAAATGTTCTTGTATTACAAGTCTCGGTAAAACAGATAAATAAATGTTTAAAATAAAAATTTCGGACAGAGTAGAACTTGCGAAAGAAATATAAAAGTAAAAATTTTTCAATTGAAGAAACAGATAATTTATTCGTCAATATTAGAAAAGTGCTCAATATTTGAGGCAAATACAATACTGAATTCTATTCGACGAATACTCAAATATAAAAATGGATTTTTGTTTAAATATTATTTGTTTCCATAGAACTGTTGTTAAAATTGAATTAAAAATACCTACTTAAGGACACTATTCAAAAAATGTTCTTAAGTGTATCATTTTTTTTAATAAAAATGCTACAAAACAAATATTTTTTTATACGAAGTAGTTTGGATAGAATTTTCTTAAAAAATAAAAAGAAGCCATAAATTTTTATCTCTAATACGAACTCATGTTATCACATTCAGTGATATCTTTCAGTTATCTTTCTTTTCTTTGCAATACTTTACTCATAAAACGCATGGAATATAGAAAACTTTGTAAAATTATTCTGTATATTAAACCAAATGTTTAAAAACTATGTATTTTGTAATAACATTTAGTGAAATATAATTATCCATTCATTTATATTGTGTGTCTATTATATACATTGTACGTTGACAGTAGTGCGATTTTATTTGTGTGTCACAATGTTTCAAGTGACTCAAATAAATGTAACTTATATAAAATCAACTATATAATTACATGAACAAAACGAATGGAATTCCATACTTTTAAATCATGTTTAGTATAAATCATATCTGAAAGAGAATTTCTGTATTTTAACATCCTAATTTTGTTGTAGCCGTCCAATTTTAAGTTATTTCGTAGTTTGAACTGATATTATAGAACAAAAGATGAAAACGCGATAAATACCAAAAAGAAAATAAAGGATAACGTGGCTGATCAACTGTGAAAGACGATTGGGTGGAAATGTCTAATACTGAATTAAAAAATAAACACTTGTGTAGTCGTTATTTTTCAAAAGGGTCGAATGCGCTAAAAATAATGCTAAAAATTCTTAATTCTTTTCACTCTAATGAAAATAGTGATAATGAAACAGATGTTGAAAATGATGACATTTTATCGAAGAGAAAATTCAATTAATTGGAACAGAGATTGATTAAAAACAATTGCAGCAAGAGAAATTTAACAACTCTAATATTCTTCGCTCGCACAAAGGGCAAAAAGGGCACAAAGGGCAAAGTGTAATTAATCGATTAAAAACTGATCTTTGAGCTTGTTCCAATATTGTTATTTAAATCCAGAGATCGCGAAGTTTTTAAGAAAAAAGAACAAGAATTAGTGTGATAATGTATTACACTTCTTTGTATATAATAAAATGCGTGACGTTTTGAATTTTAATCTTCCTTATCCAAGCACGATCGTCACACAGTTCGGGAAAATTGACATTTGGTATTTGCCAAAATTTATTTAACGAGTTAAAATTAAAATTCTGACATATGAAAGATATTGATCGAAATTATTTTTTAATATTTGATGAAATGGCAACCAAGAAATGTCTGGATTTTCATCCCAAGAGTCAAATTATTTGAAATTTCGAAAAAATTTAGGATCTTTTGGGTGAAAAGTTCGCCATAGGTACACAAGTTCTTGTGCTACTCGGGTTGTTTACAAATTGGAAACAACCACTGTTGCTTTTTTTGTTGTAAAATCTAGTATAAAAAAATATGAATTATCAATAATTCTAGATCAAGTATTAAATGCACTACATAAAACAAATTTGAAAATTAGGGCAGTTGTTTCTGATCAGGCAACCTGTAACCAAAGCTTAGCACCTGAACGAGTTTCTATTGATGAATCTTTTTTTATAAGAAATGATCGAAAGATTTATTACTTTGACTATTTATGTTTATTTAAATCAATTAGAAACAATTTATTTAAATTTGATTTTTAATAATTATAATTCTCCGGTTTTGTGACAAGAAGTTATTTTGCTTTAGAAAGTAGTAGTAAAAATGCTTCAAAATTATCTTGATGTCTTGAAATCTATATATATATATATATATATAGAGAGAGAGAGAGAGAGAGAGAGCAATGATTTTGCAATATATTGTAAAAAATATTATATAGTGTATATATATATATTAAATGTATTCTAACACAATTTAGATTACATTCAATGTTCATTAATTTTTTCTAAAATTTGTTGTAAACAGCTTGATTGTGATGATATACTATTTTGATGCCGATAAAAATGCCAATTTTAGTAAACATTTAATGTACTACTAGATAAGACATTCTTTCACACCTTCACGTAGTCCACCCTGTTAATTCTATTACTTCATTCATTATCAGTACGGTACGGCTGTGTTGTGAAGTAATAGGATAACTAAGATGAAAGAAAGACATGCTATGTGTGAATATGACATAGTTTTTCTATTAATTTATAACGTTTTCTATTAAATATATTTTAAGAAATAAGAAATTTTATTAAAAATAATTAAAAATAACGGTTTACTAAAAATTCTGATTTTAAATTTTACTAAAAATTCTGATTTTAAATATTATGTTTTTTATATTTTCATTTCTTGACGAATAGAACAGTATGAGACATAACAAAATCCTCTTAGAATGCACTTCAGTAATTATGCTTTGAATAGGAAATCTGTAATCTATGTTTCTTTAAATACTTTTGAAGAATTTGTTACTCTATGAGTCGTCAGGTACGGTCAAAGACCACTGTATAAATCAGAGTAAGATATTTTTACATCAAGAAGCTACCGCGTGAAAAAACTATCTTGTACTAATGAAGATTCCCCTTCAGATTTACCAAAATCCTCCAAACCACCACATTTAAAATACACCCCACCATCGAACGTAAGCCACCACAAATCCCTCCATGGACAATAGAAGTATTCCCAACAAACACCAGTCTTGCCGAACTCCCCAAAATAACCTTCAATCCAACTGAATACAGGCCCTGATTCCTAGAATTAAACAACAGTTACGTCCACCACAGCAAAATTTACACTCACTGGTCAAAAACGTACTCTGGAGCCAGATATGCTATCATTACAGAAAAAGTCAAAAAAATACAAAACCTCCTCTTTTCATTCATCTTCACAGTCGAAACTTATGCCATTCTTGAAGCCTTACAGTATGCACATTCAAACAACAAAGCCCAGGTCATCATCTACATCGACTTCATGAGCGTTACAAAATTACTAATGAAAACGTACGACTAGGAAAACCAACAAACCTAGTAATAACCATACAAGAACTATACCACGATCAACCTAACACCAAAGCTACCGTCATTTAGATTCCAGCTCATCAAGGGATAGAAGGAAACGAAAAGGCCGGCAGTGAAAGAAACCACAGTTCTTCCACCTATTAACAAACTCAACAAAATCCCCTCTGAAGACCAAATAATCCATTGCAAAAGAGTACTAAAAAATGAATGGAACAACACATGGATGATAACTAAAAACACTCAACTACACAAAAGTATCCGAGACTTTCACCAACAAATACCAAACATTAGCAACAGAACAGAATGAATAATAATATAATAAACATCACACCCCTAAGAACTAGTCATACCAAGCTGGCACACAAACACAAAATTAGAAAAACTACACCATCTACCTACAGCCAGTGCAATAACCACCCGTTAACAGTCACCTACATTCTGCACGAATGCCATACCACAGAAGTCCAAAGATAGAGACACGGAATTAATTCAAACATAAACCTAACGTCGCAAAATGAGCAAAGAGTTTTAAAATACTTCAAAAACACAAACTACTACCCACATATCTAAAACCACTGTCGCTCGATGCAACGGAAAGCAAAAAAACAAGAAGAAGACTATTCGAAATAAATATACTTACTTCGGGCTAAATTCAAAAAAATAATCACGATCGTAATCTCAATTTAACCATTGTATCTAATCGTTATCGTTCCCCGAAAAGGATAACAATGTCTTGTATTTGCTTCGAATTTCAAAAATTTTGAAACAGACAACGATAACATCCGCCTACTGCTTTTTAATGTTGAGATATCTGTGCTCCACATAGAGAAGAGATATGTATATGCACTGTATGTACATACGATCGTTCTTCCTGAATATTTATGACAAGAAGTTTCTTTCCTTGATCGGCTTTTTATTTATCACTAAGATACTTTCCAACCTTTTTTGGTCAAGATTTTTCTGATATATTTGGCTGGGAACACTGCCACGATGTAATCCTTATCTAATTTTTATAGCATTTTCTGTTTTTTGTTGTCTTTCATATGTTAGGTGTCGTAAAATTATCTTCCAAACAATTAGATTCTCGAATTCAGCAAACATCTCAGAGAAGGAAAGCGGTTCAATTGGAATAATATCCTTATTTTGCATTGGGATTCAGCTAATTGGGCTGTAATTTCGAAAGATTCCAGAGACAGATCGCGTGACATTTAAAAAGACTATAGAGAAGCGGCTAGGATCTCAAATATAAAGTTTTAACTTCGGGTAGTTTTTGAAATTAGATTAGAGAATTAAAAAATACATTTAATATTTCGTCGTCTAATCCTAATGATCAAAGTTTAATGGAATAGCGGAAAAAGTTTTACAGCAATATAAGGAATAATTATGAAATTGTATTCAAAAGAGTTGCGGTTCATTCAAACCCAGTACAGTGAATGCCAGATTATTGTGTTCACTTGACTGCAATAGATATTCGTGATTGTTTTAACGTGAAATTCAATTTCCTTAATAAAAGTTTCGTTCCGGAAGAAATTTCTCTAGATGAAATGATTGGAATGAAATTCAAATGATTCAATTGTAATTTTTTTTATGCTTCATAAAAACATCGACAAATATGTTAGATATTAGATTTCCACCACTTTCACTTTTAAATGTTATAAAAATAACTTTGAAAAAATATCACTTCTATTTTTAAAGATTATGCGTCTTAGAATAGTGCAAAAGTCATTAATAACCCGCACAAGTAGTTAATTTAAATAATCAAAATAAAAAAAAAAGTAGTGCAACTTTATCTCGAACATTTTCTTTATAAAAACAAAAATAGAACAGATATATTTTCATTTAAAAGCCGCATCCTGTATAAAATTTGAAGCATTTCAAGAAACATTAATCTTTTTTCAACATTGTACCGTAATATTTTTCATTCGCAATAGCACGTAGAAAAAATTCTATCGTAGAAAAGAAAATCATAGAAATCTATTAAAAAAATGTTTTTGTGAGCTTCTTAAACAATGTCCTATTACTAAATTTGCATTTATTTATTATGATTGTTATATGTCTTTCGAGGATATGTCCGTCGTTTAATTATTTCGCGGTGAATTTTCGCGTTATTTCGTATTCATGAAATCTATAAGATTTCACATGTATCACGTTACATGATAGTTCATTGGAAGAGAGAAACCAAGAAAGTTTGAAATAAAGCAGAAAATATCACGCAATAGAGAATAATATGTAATTTTTTTGTCACAACCGTTTCGATTATATCTTCGCATGTCTGCAACCAGAGAACATTTCCCGAATACGTACGCGAAAAAGTATGTGTGTACACGTGTTCGACGACAGCGTTATCTATTTATTAAATGGCAAGAGATAGCGAAAGTGACGTAATTAGACGGTTGTCAAGTGGGACTTGTTATCTATAACATGTTTTCTCCCGTAAAAAATGCCGCTGCACGATCATTACTCTAGTTCGTCGAGTGGACTGTTTTATCGTACGTTCATCCGCAGCAGCACGAACGTGACGTGGTGCACTAACACGACCGCCATCGAATCGCGTCTTCAATCATCGCAAGCACATTGACGCGACAGCATCTGCTACCGTTACTAAACGTTCTCTTTATCAACAGATTGAGCGTAGTCGGTGATCGTTTTCTACAATTATCCAGTCTCTTGATGATGCTTTCTGGAATATGAGCAACTCGTTGCCGATATGTGATGAATACCTGCTACAACTGCGGAATAACGGATCTGGAAATGTTTCGTTTCCTGTTTAAAATCCCTGTATAAAATCCTTATATTTCTAACTCGTAAAATATACAAATAACGCGCAAGGGTCGTCTCCTGCTGGAAATATTTCGGACATTTATTCAATTTCTTCAATTTATTCTAAATGTACAAGTTTCGAACGATTATTCGCGCATTCATGTTTTCAGGAACAAAATGGGATTTATCTTTTTTCTTTCTTTTTTTTACTGACCTCTGTTTGTTCCGCCAGGAATATTTTTAATTCTCACGACTTTAAACGATATTATCGAAAAATTTTGTCGATCTCGCAGAATCTGCGGGACATAGCCGTGAATTTTGTGGCTAACAGAAAAATATTATTTTCGTATTAAAATAAGATAATAATCTTCCATGGATTTCTTCTTTTTATACATTTTTACGAAGTTTTAATATATTCTTTGTTACGAGAAATATGTATATGTATAAATATGTATAGATGTAGATTTATTATAATTAAATAAAATGACTATTCGAAATAAATATACTGATTTTGGGCTAAATTAGAAAAATAATTATATGATCATAATCTCCATTTAATCAACGTATCTAAGCGTTATCGTTCCCAAAAGAAGATAACAATATAAACTTTAAAAATTTTGAAACAAACAACGATAACATTCGCATACTGCTTTTTAACAATGAAATATCTTTGCTGATACAAAGAGGAGATATGTATTCACAGTATGTAAAAACGATCGTTATTTCTGAATATTAACAAGAATTTTATTTATCTGTAAGATACTTTCCAATCTTTTCTGATGATTTTTCTAATTTATTGTGTTTCTTGGGCACTGATTTGTCCGCATGCATCCTTCCAAACTTTTCTTGTACCAGTTTGCAAAAAATTCCTAAAAAAAATTTTTATTGACGCCACTATAGTGAATTTTGCCTACAATCGTGCGTTCGTAGTAATGCATACGTTAGTACGTGTGTGTTCGGCGCTCGGATATGATGCAATCTACCTCTTGCCTTTTCTTTATACACGATGTATGTGTTATGCAAAAACGTGTCATAAACGGATAACTCTAATACAGGCATGCAGGTTTTGTGAATCATTTCGAAAGCTTGGATCGACACACGTCATGAAAAACTTGTTTATAATATTAATACTCAAAAATCATCGGAGAGGAACCAGTCTTTCAAATGAACGAATGAAAAAAAAAGAGAAAGAAAGTAATCTTTCGATCTCGACGATCTGTTCGCGTTTCATCTTCAATATAACAATAGAAATTGGAGAAAAAATGAAAAAGAAAGCATCAAGTCGTGGCATATACATATCTCTGGTCACATAATGGACACGTGTTAGTTACGCGTCCATCTCAATTATCCACGTTGGATGTCTTATCATCCATGAGCATCGTCTGCATGTCTAGCACGTAAGACCATATCCGCATTACGTATAATATATTCTACTACGTGACCAGTGGCAAAGATGCGATATGCCCTTGTAAATGTTGCCTTAATGAACGAGTGGCGACCACACCTGTTTTTTCATTCTTCTTCTTCTTCTTCTTCTTCTTCTTTTCCTTTGGTCATGGTCCAAACAATCATAACAATATGCTCATTCATTTGACATTTAGCTTTCTCGGAATCGTGAACTTGAATTTGCAATTTATTTTCCTTGTAGAGTTAAGACAATTATGTGTGTGAGTGCGTGCGTGCGTGCGTGCGTGCGTGCGTGCGTGTGTGTGTGTGTGTGTGTGTGTGTGTGTACGATTGAGAGTATACAATATCACGAAACGATTAAAAATCTGAAATTGTACGTTACGTCTATTTGACGTGGCTCATTGATTCGAAATTGTTTTGAATCTTACTTTGAAACGATCATTCTATTTACGAACACTGATACAGCGTTACGGATTAACTGTTACATCAATGGTGATAAATAAATCGTGCGTCACGATAAAAACGAAAATAACAAAGAGCTGATATGCCTTGTACATTGCTTCATATTGTATTTTTCTTTTTTTTTTTAATATAAGCAATTGAATGCTATCAGAATAATTCAGGTACTGTACTATTGTATTGCCGCTTTTTTCGTAAATTTAACGCAGTTTAATCGTAATTGATTCCGTTTCTTTCTTCTTCAAAGATAATTAAACGTGAACGTTGTGTGTGAAACAAAATTAGCCTGTACGGCTACAATTTGGCGATAAAATGGGATCATATTACGTTTCCAATAAGAAGTCAAATTGGTGACGAACGCACGTACGAATCAATTCTGAAGAAGCAGTCAAAGCGGTCGGAAGTATATTTCAGTGCATTGTTTTCAGTATTTTTCATTAGTAGTATTTTTTAGTTTTGTAATATTTTTCATTTTTTGTATTTTTTAGTCTTTTTTTTAGTGTTTTCCATTTTTTAAAACTTAAAACTTCCAAACTTAAAACGATCGAGATGTTTTATTTGCATAAGCAATGACAACAAATATAGCGCTGAATATAGCAATTGTCACAATTTTGTTTGTAGCAAACATAAATGCAATCTAACGTATTAGATACAACGAAAATAAATATTATTTATAGGTAATAATATATAATATTACTTATAGGTAATAAAAGTAGCAAAAGGTGTTTTTATTTCCTACTATCCTATTGTTATAACAATCATAATAAAAATACAAAAAACAAATAAAAATAAAATTGAACCAGCTATTAACGAAACATATTGAAGGGCTTTGGTAGGTAAGCTATGGCTATTTACATATGTACACTATTTACAATTGGTGCGAGGATGAAGGAAGGAGATGAAAGGATTGGATCTAGGTGATGGGTAAAGGTGAGGAAAAGGTTATGCGTTTCGTCTCAGAGTCGCTGCCTAGACTCATCAGTGGGGCTGATGGCAGCAACCCCTTAACCCCAGACGCTTGTTTTTTCTAACTACTCGCTAGGCTGGACGGTCACCCATCCTAGCGGTGTTCCGCACTCTGTTTGCTTAACACATCGAATATCGTTAGACTTCGACGCTAGGCGCACAGCCACTTGCTTTGTACAAGTCGGTGTTCGAAACTCGTACTCGAGGGACTCTAGGCCGCTACAATATATAGGTGTAATATACATAGGTCGTTCCACTGGAACATGTACGGATATATGTAGTCAGTAACTTGAGTCACGCGAGACCCGGCCACCGGTCAGTACGGTCCGTCATGCGAGAGTTAACGATCATAGAATTCATCCGTTGAATCGCAAAATACTCTTTATTAATCTACATATTTATATATGTATGTGTGTATAATATCATTATCGCAGTGCTAACCACCGCTTATACTACAAATTATAACTTAATCTCTAGATAAACGAGACATTCAGCAAATAAGTCATTATCTCAAAAAAAATTATATCTCAATCATTTTCTTCTAGAAATCATATTCCTAATGATTTTTTTTTTGAAATTTTATATTTTATTGTACGATACGTACACGGTAGATCATGATTAACCTAAGTAACAAGATATATTTATCTTAATACAGATGTTAATATATATATATATATATATATATATATATATATATATATATAATTAAATTTTATATATATAATTAAAAAAAATTACCTAGCTATCCATCTTTTCTTCATTATTATCTCGTAAGATTATTCGCACGGATGGAAATGAGAATGTTTCTGTTTAAACTGAAAATATTTCCCGTAACTCTGTTAGATAACTTTGCTAAATGGCTAAATATTTAACAAACGGTTTGTAAAAAAAAATGTTACGACTAACAACGTTCCTTTGCTAATATCGCAAACAGCGATACAAAGTTGTATGGGCAAAATATATACACGGAGCTAAATCGAATTAAATCTTTTCGAATTTTAATTTAAATAACATGCGACAGAATAAATTTAGCCAAAGCAGCCACGATACATGCTGTGTATTACGATAATTGTAACAGAGGCTGTTTTCGTTATTTAGAGATACCGGATAGTTTATCTATATAATGACGCAGCAATTCGAAATGTTTCACGCGGAATAAAAGCAATAATCGTCCATAAAAAACAAACCCGATTTCTCATTATTTTTTCTACTAACAATAAGTAGAGAGTCGAATTTTACAGAGCTCCAATGAAACGGCCGATCCATTAAAATATCCGCTCGTATCGTATCGACAATTTCCCATTTTCAATGAATTGCAAGATACGGAAACTGCTCCACGCCAATGAACGCATTTTTATCAAGCGCGTTACAACGGTGATTTGACGATAGGAAAGATAGAATTGCAACAAAATCTTTATTTGGCCATGTTGAAGTCGTACATGTGATCAAACATCTAACACCAACATGCATAATATAGGTAATATTTCCACGTTCAACTGCAAGAAACAGCGCTGGCGGAAACGGTGGAGAAACAATAAGAACTTTTCCTCGGCTCGATGGCCAACCAGAATCCGTTTTTCCCGGTGACGTTAAACACGCCTTTCTCGAACTGCAACGGGGTGATCGTTCTTGGTGCGAGCTTGATGCTGCACTTGGCAAGAACGTGACAGAGCAGCACTTTTATCTCCGTTAGCGCGAATCGATTGCCGATGCACATCCTCGGCCCAAGACCGAACGGCATGTACACACCCGAATTGGTGATAGTCTTGTTGTTTTCGTAAAATCTACCCGGATCAAATTTCAAAGGATTCTCGTAGTACTTCGAGTCTTGGTGGATCGCAATCACGGGAACCCAGATGTTCATCCCCGCCTTGACGGTAAACGGTTTGTCGCCGGGTCGCGCTGGCGGTAATTCGAAATCTTTGACGCACAACCTGTCTATGAATAAGGCGATCGGATAAAGTCGTAAAGTTTCATTGATCACCGCGTCCAGATACTTCATCCCGTGCATCGCTTCGTAAGTCAGCTCTCCATTGTTATTTTCCAACGTCTCGTCGATCTCCTGCTGTACCCTTTCCTGAACGTCCGGATTCTCGGCCAACAGGTGCGCCACTATGCAGGTTTGCGACGCGACGGTGTCGAAACCGCCGAAGAAGAAGCTGAACGCGTGATTCGCCATATCTTGCACGGTCATCTCTTTCCCCGACTCTCTTTTTTTGTTACTGTCCATGAAGAGCTGCAGAATGTCGGACCTGCGAGTACCGGTCCGTTGCCTAGTCTCCACTGTCTCTGCCACTTGGTCGTAGAAAAATTTGGCAATGTGACTATCCACGACCTTGAGTTGCAGTAGCTCTGCTAACCACGGAGCGTTCCTGTGTACCAAGAACAACAGGGACCTCTTGAACGTTGCCATCGTTGTGCTTATTCTACCGTACACGTAGAACACGTTGTTCGGTTCCTTGACAGAATCGATGGACACGTTATAGACACAGCTGGCGATCACGTCGTTCGTGTATTTCGTCAACAGACTCTTCATCTCTGTTTCACGTTGCTCCTCTGGCAGATTCGACAAATGCTCAGCAAATCGGCTCGCGCATTCCGACATTAGTTTGAACATTGTTTTTATCTTGCTGGAGGTGAAGCTCGGCGACAACATGTTCCTGTGATCCTTCCACTGGTCACCGTTCAGCATGAATAGCGCTCCTCCTAGCATGGGATCCACTTTTCTGTTCACCAGCGGACGGTGATCTGAAAATTGTTCGAGGTTCTTCATAGTGACGGCCTTGATCAGATCCAAATCGCGTAATACTATTATCGGCGTGAGAAATTCGTAGAAACCGATGTATTTCGCTTTGGGATCCAATTGATAAGTCTTGACAATCAAATCCAGCATGGTGATCTGTCGTCTGGCGAACGATCCCATGTTTCCAAACAACGGCGTCGGTGGAACGTGCACGATTCCATGCTTCTTGAACAAATTGTGATTCCTCGTGGTAAAGTAATAGAAAGCAACGAACACCGTCACCAGCGACAAAACGATCGATAGGTAGTCCATCGTGGTGTATCCACGGAGCGCAGCGGCGAGTGACTGTAATAACGTGACGATGCTCACTCTGAGAGCTAATCAAGCAAACTAACTGTACGAGAGTCGCCACTCGATGAAAACCAGTTTTACACAGGGGAACTATGTTTTCGATATGCAGGAACGTCTCAATGTCTTCCAACTCTCCCAGTTTATGCCAGAGGCTACGCTGGATGGATCGCATTACAATCCCACTACCTTCGCTTTTATAACCAGTTGTATCGTTCGTGATAGCCGATCGAATTTGCGTAAATTGCGTTTAGATGTTTTTCTGCATCATTGAAGAAGCAGGAAAATTTCAACTAGTCGATCGTTAATTGAACAATATATATATACAGATTGGTTGGCTAGAAGAGATACTATTTCAATACTAATAAATTTCCCATTCCTTTCGTTCAAAATACTCTTTTGTGATGCATTTTTAAAGCATTCGAGTATAAAAACACAAACGGTGTGGTCAATACAAAAAGAAAAAAAAATTATTCAGCATCTTCTTTTTCTCGTAAACATGTCGTCTTGAACTTATCAGACTGACGAAGCCAACCGACAAGCTAGTTCTAAATAATTATCATTTACATAGTAAATTCACATAGTAAATTTTTTGTTGTGCCATCCATCTTGTCTTATTCCAAGGCACGTAGCACGTAAATACGTAATACTTTCTAGTAAACATCATAATTTCGCGATAATTTCATCCTGATTCCAGGAAAAACATAATCGTTGCACGTAATGGCAATGCGTTAAACAGTGCTATCGCTTCGAAAGCAAATTCTATTAATTTTATCAGAACGCTGTATACGACGCGATATAAAAATCTATTTTTCACTACTTCATCGAAACGAAGGTTATCTCTTTAGCGCTTCAAATGAAATGGAATTATATCTTGCTTAGGTTTTTTAATTTGATTTTTGCTGAGTAGTTATAGCGTTACGTAATTGATTGCGATCTTTGGAATATGAAGTGAAAGGGAAAGCGAAACATTTAATTCTAATTACCATATCGTTTCTACAAAAGACATACCTGTGTACAAGATGAGTCACCTAAGACTGGAAGCTGAAATATTTTTGAAATGATTGATTGTATCTAAAAGTGTCTTATTGTTAGACAAAAGCTGAATGGTTTCAAAAGGAAAATTAACTGGTAATTATTATTTTTTAATGTTCATGCAAAGATGACGTTTTTAGTATCTAGGTTTAGGTTTTAGGTTAAAAAAACGTTTGTTTTTCTAAAACATTACTCGGTTTAGCGTCTGTAAAAAAAAAAATTATTAAACTGTTTATATCGGAAAATCATTAATTAAGAAGATATTTTAATTAAAATAAATCGAAATAATAATTACAGAGTATCGAATTTATCTGTAACAGCACCATTAGTAATAACATAAGACTAATTATTTATTGCGATTGGTATAAAATAATTGCTTATTTCACTGCTGCACGACAATGACGATCACTTTTGTAATTTAATTTTTACAGAATATTTGACATTATTTAACATCAGCAGTGATATTTCTACATTCTTCAACATGTTTTCAGCGGTTGCTGGTTTATATCAACATAGACTTTATCTTTTAGAGTCGACAGAAAAAAAATGATCTGATTGGTTCGAATCTGGTGAACAAAATAATTTGAGTTTTATACGACTCTGAAGAGCAAAATCATAAAATTTGACTTCGAACGAGTATTACACTACAATATTTTAATTGAAATATCTGTTAGTGCAAAGATATTAAACATTCTTGCGCTCTGAATCATGGTCTAGTATGTATTTCTATTGCATACTTTTTTTGACTCATTTATTGTTTACTAGATCAGGGCTCAAAAGCACTGCATGAGTCAAGACGATTGCTGATCGTTTGTCGGTTATCACTTTCGGTTAGACAAGACTATTTTACGATCCGTTTATATAAAATTAAATATACTTCGGAATACCCAGAAGCTAAACTCGACTGTAACATCAAGTCACAACATGCTGAACTAGTTTTTCGGAACAAATGGTTTGATGTTTTTTTGCAGAGAACGTTGAGCTGAATTCAATAAAACGAACTTGATCTTAATCTTAATTTCCAATACGCCAACGTTGAAAAATACCAATTACATCGATTAATGAAACCCTTTCGAGACCTTTCAAATTTTTGTCTAAAACATTTTTTGATACAATCTATCGTTTTGTAAATGTTTCAACCTCTAGTCTTAGGTTCTTCGACTCGCTCGGCGTATGTCATTTTCATGCATGTGGCGTGACGTCACGTTATTTAAAGATTTAAACATTTCGCAAAATGAGTAAAAATTCACATAGTACAAACTGAATTTACCAAGTTCGAAATCCGGGGTATTTTTATTCCTTGTACTGTATCGTTTTTTATATTTTCCTCAAGTAATCATTTTTGCTCCATCATCGGTCCGATATAGTACAAAGACGCGAGAATGGGACAATGATAGGATCCCATTGTTGCATTAGTTTTTGAGATGGTGGAAATTGGCCTGTGAAACGGCGAACTGTGGTTGGAACGGATTATTTGGATGTCTCTCTTGAGCGGTGTGGAACGTCCGCGTCGTCTCGCTTCGGATGATATTGCAGGATATTGCGAACGATAGGATCAACATCATAGGATCAACGGAAACAAAGCTGGCCATTTACCGGCAAATTACTCTTAATTACACCGGTCTTACTAGTCAAATTATTTTCAAATCTGAACACAATCAGATGTTTCATACATTTTTCGTCAAAAGAAGAATCGTTGCTACATCGATTTAATAGAGGCGACAGGATTCACGGTTCCTTCTTCTGTAAAAGTTTGCTGAGACTTTTGTAAACAAGGTGAAAGCTGCCATAGCATTCGTACTCGCTTTACTGGGTATTCTGTTCGTCGCCGAATATTCCTGTGCTGCTGCCATCAAATCCGAGGTAAAACTTGTATTAATATGATTATTTGCATTGTCAAGTTTATTAGAATAGATACCGATGATTTATGAAGCAGAAAAACGATTTTAAGTACTTGGATCATTGATCATTTCCTATACGAAATTTTCTGTAATACATATCAAACTTGCGATGTTTGAATCTATTCTACAAGGATTCAAGATGAATTTACATTTAATAAATTGTTAATTTAATAAATTGTTAAACGTGTCAACAATTTGACAAGTAGCTAAAGGAAAGTCATTATCTTTATTCTTAGTCCTAATGTCTTAATTCAAACTATTAGCTAGGTCTTGATGCAAACATGAATTTGCAGAAAAAGAGTATTTGATATGGAAAAAAAAATTCTCAAAATTTTGTAAATTGGAAATTGATCCTTCCAATATAATTTATCACATGGTTTTCTAAAATTTTCAATTCATTCGAATGTACATCCACCACATTCTTTGTATCTGTTAGATTTTTGGTAAGTTTTAACATTTGACGTGTTATTATTTTGCAGGAATTCGTTCAACTTGAAAAAAAATTATCAAGCATGTGTAATTTTGATAGCCAGCGGATACGTAGAGCAACTGAAAGCGTAGAGGATCGACCAAAGAGGAATTGTTACGATACAACACCCTGCGGATGGAATATGTACACGACTCTGTGACACGGCAGGCCACAATTTTCATGCCGTAAAAATGCGTAGAGCTGCTGCTACTATTCAATGGAGGTCGGGTCACCCATCCCAGCAGTGTTTCCGCAGTCCTCTTTGCTTAACATTGTGATCGCTGGTACTTCGACACTAGGCGCTCAGCCACTTGATGCTGGTAATAGTCCATGTTCGGATTTCGTTCTAGAGAAATCATAGCCCGTTACAAATTGTATTAACTATATTATATCAATATATATATTATATATTAGGTGTTCCATAAGTTTCTTTCGTTTTATAAAAATACATTAGATGCTTAAAATTTTTTGTTCTAAGTTATTTTATTTATTGAATTATACATGATCCATTTTGTTCTATTATCTTTCTTTACCTCTCCGGAAGCCACATAATGCCATTTTTCCAGAACTTCTGGGTTTTGCTAGCAAAATATCGTTCTGGGTGCATTATGTCGTTTTTTGTAATAAATATTTTACCGCGAAGTGAATTTTTTAATGAAAGAAAGAAGTTCCAATCACACAGGGGAATATCCGGAGAGTATGGAGGACGAGATAGATCATTCCAATCAAATGATAACAATTTGTTTCTGACGGTTAAATAAACACGGCGCCTGGATTATCGTGCTGGAGAACGTCTGTTGGTTAATTCTGGTCGTTTTGTGGCGATTTTTTCCTTCAATTTGTCCAGTTGGGAACAGTTTTTCACTAAATTTATTGTTTCATCTTGTGAAATAAGTTCATAATTATACTCTTCCAGTTCCACTAGATGGACATCAAAACTTTAAACGATTTGAGTTCATGTTTATATAAACATTGCCAGAAAAAGCAGTTCTGTGCAGATAGCAAAAGAAATGGGACAACCTAATATTATATCAATTATTAACTGATACTATTGACGATATTTGAAGACTTTTAATAATTCCTCGTAAAATAAAAATAAATGAAAATAAATATAATGGAAATCGAATGAAATTAGTTACTACCTAACCTACAGACGCGAGAAATTTAGATTAAATTTTTTATATAAAATAATATTTTTTACTAAATACTTTTACGTACAAATTTTTCTAAATTCATCATCAATAATTTTACTAAAAAAAATTGTTAAAAATCGTTCATCCTACCTTAATTACGTGGAACGAATCTTCGAACGATGCGATACACCAACGACACACAGTGGCAAAATACGTTGAGTTCCTGACCATTATTTCCAAATTTACGAACATTTATGCAATTATTACATATTAAAATATTCAAAATATATTATTATTTTTATTTTTATTATTATTAACTAATATTTTATTATTATTACTTTTTTAGTTATTATAATTTTCATTACATATGTAATTACAATTTTTGTAATTGTGCATAAAAGGGTACCTCACCGATTTTGATGAAATTTAAATATGTTGTCAGGATGAAAATTTTGAACAACTTTTTCCTATACGTATAACACCCGCTTAGCCTTAGTTTCCGAGATTTTTGCAAACTATTGCTACTATTACAATGAATATTGTCTACAGCTATGTGGCAACGTATGTGTAAGCCGTTGTGTGTGGGTTGAGTTGCCAATTATTTGTAGTTTCTATAGATAAACCAATCCTATTACACCACAACCCAGCGATAAAGCACGCGGCGGAATTTACATAAAAAATGATATCTAACATGCACAAACAAGCTCATACCAAACTGACAAAATACAAACAACAACAGTCAACATCACACTACATAACCGAGATGTCAATATCTCAGCAATATACTGCCCACCAAAATATGCAATATCAACAGAAGAATACAACAAATTCTTTAAGAGCTATAAAACAAAATTTATAGCTTTAGGGGCCCTGAAGCAAAGCACAACTATTGGGGCTCCAGAACAAATAACCCTAAGGGAAAGAACCTCTACCAGTGCATAAAAATTAATAACCTAAAAATCTACAAATCAGAAAAACCAACCTACTGGCCATCAGACCCAAACAAAACACCGGACATCCTAGACNATAGCAGTCACGAATACAAATTTGAACATCAAAACTGAGGAGCTGCTAGATTTAAGTTCAGACCACACACCCACAATCTATGCGATCGACAAAAAAGTGACAAAAGACGAAAAAATAAAATTGACAAACGCCGAACTGGATAGCATACGCAGAATACATTAATAAAAATCTGAACTGCAATATACCTCTAAAAAATGCACTAGACATAGAGAAGGCAGCTGAAATACTAACAAGCACACTCGAAGCGGCAGCATTCCACTTCACAAAGTACGGAGGCGGAAACTCCCAAGCAGTATGGACACACATACTAGAACTAATCAAAACCAGGAAAACAGCAAGGAAACAATGGCAAAACACAAGATGGCCCTAACTTAAGACCATGATAAACAAACTTACAAACAAAATTAAACGAGAAATTTGCAAAACAATAACGACGAATTCACAAACTTCATTATGAATCTAGACAATAGCAGCAATACAAACTATTCCTTATGGAAAAGTACAAAAAGACTCAAAAGACCACTCATCCAAATTCCCCTTATACAAAAACCGGACGAAAACTGGACCACAACAATAGAAGACCAAGCCGAAACCATGGCAGAATACCTGAGCGAAACATTCACTAACAATCCCTACATACCCCCAAACAATAGCAACAATGAAACACTAAAATACAAGGCAATAAGGAAAGAGGAAATCTTCACAATAATTAAAAAACTAAAAAATAATAAAACTCCAGGATATGACTTAATAACAGTAAAAATGCTCAAAAAAGTCCCAGCCAAAGCGGTAAGATTCCTAACAATCCTAATAAATGCGATATACAGAGTAAGAAACTTCCACCAGATCTAGAAGTATGCAGAAATCATACCTCTATAAAAACCAGGCAAAAATCCCAAGTTTCCATTATCCTATAGACCTATATCTCTTCTTCCTATGATTTCCAAGTAATAGAAAAAAACCATCTATAAAAAACTAATAGAGGAAATCACCAACAAAAACTTGATCTCTGATCCACCAATTCGGATTTAGACAAAACCACAACACAATAGAACAGATACACAGGATAATAAACAGCATAATCCGTGTCATAGAAGAAAAAAAATATTGTACAGCAGCATTCCTAGACGTAAAAAAAGCATTCGATAAAGGTCTGCTTCAAAAACTTCAAAAAATAGTATCAAAAGACCTATATCCAATATTAGAGTCATACATAACAAATAGATACTTCTAGGTCAGAATCAAAAATCATCGCTAAAAAAGATACACGCTGGAATACCTCAAGGCAGTGTGCTAGGACTAGGGGTGTGCGGGTACCTGAAATTTCGAGAAGGTTCTCTTCTATTCATAATTTTTCCATTAGAATAACTCATCGTAATTCACCTAGGCGAGAAAGAAAAATCATTGGATCTTAACCATTCTCCAGGAGAGAAGGAATTAAACGATTCATCTTCAAAGCCTCCGAATAAATCGACAAAAAATGTTTTAGAAGATCCTAAATTTCATAATCTCCGAGACATTTTAGAAATCAACGTGGCAACAATTACTTTGAGCCCACTTTCTCCTGAAAGAAGAGTAAGTAACACACAAAACTCTTCAGTACCACTGGTACTATCTTTTCCAAGGACTCCTGAGAAGAGCGTGAAAAGTTTTGATAATGGAAAACAACACTCACTGACAATAAAATCTTCGCTATTTCAAAGCCTTTACTTGTCCGTTTCATCAAAATCGTCGATATTACCAAATTCTTTTAAATTTTCGAAATCGCCGAAATTGCCAAAAGATTGAGAATGAGAAACATTTATTCATGGTGATAAAAAGACCGCTTAAATTAAACTTCAATAGAAGCCAAAGTGAAAGCAATCATTGAAAAATGCAATGCACGAATCTGGTGATGAGTAGAGGAAAACAGAGACAGTAAAGCTTAACATCAAATATAAAGCAAAACTAAACATTGGTTCCAAAGAAAATGCTAAATACATTTCTTCAATTAATTATCAGCAACATTATTTAAAATGCCACAGAACCCACGATAACGTCGCCAGTAAATAAATAAATAAATTGCAGCAAAATAATGACGTCACACAACGAACAGCAACTAGAAGAGCTTGGAATTCTGAATCCAAAACAATTTTTTGAACCAAACACGAATGTCAGGTGAAATTAAATCCGTTGCTGTCTGTTTATCGGGCGAGACCTGAAGACCTGGATTACCAAGATACCGTGTAAATAATGATCCCGAAACACAACTACGACCAAGTGGACAGCAAATTCATTTCGATATTCGGTTTTCTATTGTGCAAATGAGTCCAAGTCAATTTGGTCAAGTCAGACTGTACAAGCACACCAAATGATTTATTCCCTCAGAAGTCACCGCATGTATACTTATCCTATACTTATCCTATACTTATGCAGACGACACTGCAATATTCTCTATGGAGTCCAGAAAGTGTTACCTCATATATCCAAAATTATCTTGGCAGTACAACAATACCTCAAAAATTGGAATTTAACAGCAAATCCAACAAAGACATAAATCTATTATCTTCTCAATGAAGAAAAGCATATCTTTAAATCTAGTAAAAATCGCAGGTCAAATTATCCCTTGGTTTTTCATTGTTAAATACCTGGGAGTCATTCTCAACTCTTACTTGGGCTTCTTTAATAGGAAAAATAATCAGTTTAGCTTATTCTATACTTCGTAGACTTTACCTCCTCATCTCCAGAAATAGCAAACTAAAAACAAACATAAAATTAAATCTTTATAAAACATGTATCAGGCTCATCATTACTTATGGGCACCAAATATGGGCAGCTGCTGCAAAAACATACGTTAATAAAATACAAAAGATAGAAAATAAATTTCTGTGCATCATACTCAATAAACCTTACGACACTCCAATTAGAAAACTACACGATACTGCAAACATCTGAACTATCCAGGAATACATCAGTAACTCTTTAACAACAACATATCATCATAAGCCACTCATCAGCAACACTGGAAAATAGGACGTCACTAACATCCCATTGAAAATAAAGATTCCCAAAGCAAACAATAACCGCAGCTTTTTGAAACTCTTTTCCTACAATCACAACTAACAAAAAACAAACGTACACCTCTCAATCACTAAGCAAACTATTTAGTTCAATTTTAATTTAATTTTTATGTTAAATGCAGGTTATAAGGAAACGCTATCCCAGCAACTGCAATAAACCAACTGAACAAAATAAAAAAAAAATTTCGC